CAGGACGTCTAGTCCTATATGAAATATGTATTATGAGTTATGATTATTATGTATTATTGATATACTCACAATTGATCGTTAATCATCATTCGTCTCCAACCATTATATTGATGAGATCATTTTTTTATATGTTATCGTTTGATTTTTTTCCACGGCTTGCCGCAATCATCATGTATATTGTATGAGAACGGACCCAAAAATACAAACTCTCTTTAAAAAAGAGAACATACTCTAATCTTTATTAATTTAATACCTATTTTAATATAACATTTATAAAATAATAATTTACAACTTTAAGCATAATTTATTAATTTAAGCCTCTCATTACATAGTCCTTACACTGAAGAATATTCGTAGGGATTTCCACCACAGAAAATTYATAATTAAAAATATTTATTTTTTTTGTGATAATTAAATTATTAGTTATATTTTAAGGTTAGGTATTCATATACATACATAAACATTTGATAATAAAAATAAATTATAATAATGTGCATGTAAATTTGCAAACATACCGGAAAATTTTTATTGCAAAGTGAATTATCGTTAATCGTATTGCAATCATATTATTTATACACTTGATTGGTTAGCCGAGAATATAATATTAGTATATAGATATATAATCAAGTGATTATAGAATCTAATATAGAATGTCTTACAACAATATATTTTAATATGTTTTAGGTACAGCTAAGTTATTGTAATGGTTTAATAATGTAGAACCAAATCGATTTTTTACTTATGGAATAAAAAATAATGTTTTTTTGAAAGGTTTTTCTGTAGTGCCTACTCAGTTATTTTTTCGAACGAAGCTAGGCGAGCTAGATGGTTTACTTTTTCATTTTTCAAACAATTTACAATATATAGTATATACTGTACAAATCCTTAATGCGAATTTAATGGACGCTAAAATGCTCAAAAAAAAAAAATGGATAGTTTCTATACAGTATCAAGTATTTAATGTATTTACTAAATTGCTGTTGATGACGATAAATCAAATATTTAAAACTAATATATAAGGAATATCGTATATGATATATTTTTATGGATCGTTATATCGATCAAAATTAAATAAAACACTTACTATTGTTTTTGTTTTAAAAATGTTATATCGATTATTGTATTGATTCGTTTACATATTATAAGAGCAATTGAAACATCTACACCCTGAATAAGTACTTGATTTTTTTAAATATTCTATAATATTATTATACTATATGAATACTAATTTGATACAAAATTACATTAACACACAAATGTATAAAAAAATTCAACTTAAATAMTAATATTGTAATTCGAAATTTTAAGATTGTCGTATAAAATAATCGTACAATTTTAAKAACGGTTCATATTGAAACTATATAAATATAAAATATTGAAATCTATATGTATATTTCCAGACCATACACCAAAATAAAATATATTAAATGTATTATATTTAAAAGTTTCAGGAAAAAATGCGATTGTGCAACCTCATGCTGTGACCTTTGATATGGTCACCGAAAAATGAAGACGTTGGCCGGCGCCATAATACTATGCATCATGCTCGTCATAATTTCTGGTACGTAAAATAAATTAACCTATTTTGTAATAAATAAAACTTATAAGTTAATGTTATTTTATAATACATACATTTGTTCACGAAAAAATAAAATAAATATATTTGTTTGTACATATTTTAATTATGAGTTATGACTTATGACCTATTGGCCATTAGAATATATTTTATTATTTTTAATTTTAAAACATTTTAAGGAACTAGTATAAAAAATATTTCAAGAATTGTTACGTAATCAATCTAACTTAATTCTACGAAGTGAGTTCATAAAAAATAAAGTTTTTATTCCTAATTTGTTTATTAAATTTAAAAATATGTTAGGATTATACAAATAAAAGTAAATGATATTAGTAGATTATACTCAGCACAACGAAAAATTGAAAAATCATCTGCAAGTCTGGATATTCAATGCAGTATATGATTTCATATTAATATAATGTTAAGTTCTTAAGAAAATTTAGATTCTATGTTATAAGAATAAAAATTATGTGATTTCGCCA